CCAGGGACTATCTATATATATATATATGTATATATAGAAATTAACTGCCTCAAGGAGCTTATAGACATGTGTATAGCCCATTTAAGGGTGGATTGATTGGGCAGGGGATGGGCTAGATTCGGTGGTTGCAAGGCTCGCGCTTCTCGTACAACTCTCGGTTGCAGTCGGAGCAACCTATCTGATTGAGCAACCGCGGGGAAGCATGCTATTCGAGCATGATCGGTTGTCTGAGTTGGTGAATTCTTGGCGTGGCATTCTAAATGCAACTTGCCTTCAGTTTCTGTGTACTGTCTGCAGGTGTTGTGAAGGCTTTTGTGATAGGGTTCCTTTTTGGTAGTTGAGGTCTGGAGCCAGGCTTTCTGGATGATGCACTACAAGTCTCGGAGTCCGAAAAGAACTCGGCTCTGGAGCAATAGCATGGCTATCGGTTGCTTTGACATTGGTACGTTGTCCAGGGAGGTCATGGCCCGCAAGACAACATTGCAGACAACAACCAAAAGAACAAGCAAGAGCGGCCGGGTCCAGTTCACAGGCTCCAAGCATTTGAAATCTTCTCAGCCTGGGCCTCAATTCTTATAGTTCTTTAAGCCAAACAAGTCATCCCAAAAATTGTAAACCGTGACAACAACTAACCTGCCTCAGGACGTATACATTCCAGTTTGCGAGAAAAGTGATTCGGACTATGCCGAAGCTGACCCATCCTACCACAAAGTCCTTGCCCCCTGCTTCCTGGTTGCAGTTGAAGTTACCTTTGTGTGCATATGATGGGGCCCCATCTTCCCAAAGCCCTGAATCCTCCAAATAGCCGAGACGACTGCTGGCCTCAACATCCTGGATGAGTTTGCAAGAATGCCAATGGGCGACCTATGGCACGATGCAAAGCTTCTGCAGGCTGTGGCATATGCCCGGGGGAGTAGGCTTCTCAACATTCCTTGCCAGGAATGGCGTGATGTTTTGCCTACGGAGCTCTAGTCGTTTGGCTGTTTTGAGGGTTCATAAAGTCCTGCAAGTGAACCATGTAAGAGTGTGTGTGGCACTAACTCTTTTCCGCTAAGCTCATCAGAGGGGTGTTGCCTATCAAAATAGCCATGCTTGCGTGTACGCTGCGAGCGCGCCTGTGTACACGGCACGGTGCTGCACACATGCATGTGTACACGCAGTGGGGTGGTGTACGCGGGCGTACGCGTACAAAGGCCGTAATTCGGTGAAAAAAGGCCGAAAAAAAACGTACGGTTTGTACACTGTGCGCGGCGTACGCGGGGCGTACGCGGGGGTGTACGCGGGCGCGCGGGGCAGTGTATTGCGGGTGTGTCTGGCAGGCGCATGGCGCAAGAGGCGTGTACGCAATGTGTATGGGCCAGCATGGGCATGTACCCTGTGGTGCGCGGTCCCCTTACTCCACACCCTCGCATACGCTTTCCGCAGACTTGTTCATCCTTGCCTGTTCGGTTTTCTTGTTCTTAATCCTCCTTGCTGTAAACCCGAGGGAACTGCTATACTTGCAAAACAAATTTAATGTTTGGTAGCTCAATAATCTATTAACAAACCTATATGGCAGATTGCTCCAAATCAAGTTTCTGGGTATGTCGCCTTGGTACATGGCCTTACAACAGTTCCCCAACAGGTGGCTTTTCTAAAGGGTAGTTGCATAAACCCAAGCCCCGAAGCCCTAGACCTGACATGCAAGCTTGGATATTGTCCCTTGTGCAGTTTCTGCTCTCTAGCCCACACTATGTAAACAGCAATCCTAGTGAAGGGTTCCAGACCATGGCCAAACGATTACGCAGCCTCGGTTCCTACCTTTGGGAGACAGATGAACCAGTTGCTCTGGATGACTGGCTTGAAACCCGGCATTCTGCCTGTTGCTGTGGAAAGGATCTACAAATCAAGGCATTAGAGCAGGAGATTCAGAGGCTAGAGGACCTTACCCGTGACCTTCACCTCCGGTTGAAAGTGGCCTCCCTGCCTATGATGCCTACCCTCACAGTGAAGAACCCTAGCCTTTCTCGCAAGCAACAAGCAGATCCGTGGTACTGGCTATCCCTGGTGCCTCAGCATATTGCTGATCTTGAGAGGCTGAAGGAAGAGATTATACCACAGCTTCAAAGCTCTTCGTTTGCTGCGAACCATGTGGTGTTTGACATATGTGAGGCCACCATCCCCTCAGCAATCCTAGATCACTGCGAGCTTAGCATCAATTCCCTGTCCAGCAAGTTTCCCGCTGTCTTCAAGATCGGCATTACACGGAATCCGGTTGAAAGATGGCAGAAAGGTTATGGTCAGGACAAGGGCCAGCAATGGTTTCAAATGAAAGTGTTGGTTATTCTGCCTGAGGCTGTCAGTTTAGGGTTCGTAGAAGCTGCTTTAATTCGAAGGTTTCAAAGCACTCCTGGCAACATGAATGTCAGGAGGGGCGGGGAAGGTGTCGACCTTTCAGGCGCTGGGCCCTATTTTGCATATGTAGTGTTTCGCTGCCTTGCACCCCCTAAGAAGGCCAAATGATGAAAATCATTACATTGGACCCACAACCTATGAACCTATATACATATAGCTATAATATCTCTTGGCAAGACTACAAGCAAACGAAACCTGTACAGGCAGGCCTTCTGGGGAGTCCAGCTTGGCAATTCGACTAGTTTGTGCATGGCGAAGCACTTTCTGTTTTGGGAGTTTCCACTGACCTATGTGTTTTGGTTTCGTACAGTATAGAGGATAGTATGCTATTTATAGGTGTTATGTAGGGTTGAGGATCTATATACGGCTTGCTATATAGCGGTCCCAACAAGATTTGCATAACTTTACTTTAGGCCCTTTTGAAGCATGCGGTGGTTTCATCCCGAAGCATTTTAAAATTACCGGGTCATGATGGGTGTTACTAAATGCCTTCCGCCTGCTTGCCTGATCGAGACAGCTAGCATCCCTATGGACAAAATCCGTTGATGCTACTGTCACGGGAGAATCTATAGCACATGCATATATGTGCCCCATACAGCTGCGAAGTTTGGGTAACGGTCCACGGTAGCAATCTTGGCTAGCGAGTGAAGCCCCTGCCCAGCCTGCAGCATGGCCAGCCCATCCTGCCCCAGGCAATTGATGTCGCAGGCTTTCAGCTCTGAGACCTTGGTGGAAGCGGCTGAGCATGTGGACAAGCAGTTGACCAAGGACGAGCTGTTGGACATGGATATCGATGCTGATATCAAAGTATCTTGATTCAATTCTTTGTGGTGCAAAAACACGTATAGATTTGTGGGTAGGTGGCATTGCAGGAATGGTGGGCTTCTGTTCCTGGGTGATTCTTTTGGGTGCCGTATCCGTACATCAAGCCCTAAGCTTCTGACAACTGGAAATGTGTATAAGCCTCTATATATATACATACCCATAAAGATGCCGCTCTGAGCTTTGCACATGTACCTTCATCTAGTGTACACAGTTCTGGACCCCACGCAAATCCTACCTATACAACCTTAAGGACCCCTGCTCAGATTGAAACCTTAAACCCTCAAGGATCTGGAGCTTCAGATCAAATTGGAGGAGATGAATGCCAAGCGTGGCAAACTATCCACTCCTACAGCAGTTGCCACGCCCTCCCCGCAGCCAAATTTGAAGAAGCGCAGAAATGCTGAACCCAAAGAAGCCACAGAAGATAAGGTGGCTTCACGTGAAGCTACGCTTCTGGAAAATGATGCTGTGCTGCAGCGTGCCCTGGCATCCCAGATAGCTGCCACCCCGCAGAAGTCCATGACTGAGGCTACCTTTCCGCCACTTCAGGTGGATGGGTATGAAGATGCCTTCTCACCTGCAAAGCCTATGCACCTGTTCCAGACCCCTGACAAGTCAATCATGGAGGCTGCGACTCAGGTATATCCCACCCCTGACAAATCAATCGTGGAGGCTGACACTCAGGTTTGTCCCACCCCTCCCAAGTCGAGTGGGACCAGCTCTCACACCCGGAGCCTTGCTGATGAAACCCAAACTTCGCCGTCCCCAACCGTGCTTGAGAGCCCTGCGGTTCCTTGGAATTGCGCTAGTGTGTGCGTGTGTGCACGCATGTCCTCCAAAACGTGCTTGATTCTTGTGTGCGCGTAGCAAGTCTCATTGAGGCAATGCCTGGGCGACCGGTTTCGCCCACAGACCCCAAGAAGGCTGAAAGGGTTGTACCACCAGCCCAGCTCACTCAGCCTGTGGCCGCACAGGTTCCAAGCGAGGTAGATGTGTTAAAGGAACTAGTGAAGACCCTGCAGAAGGAGATAGCAGAGCTGAAGTCGAAGCCAGCTAGTTCTGATGCCCCTGCAACTGCCGTGAACTCTGCTGGTTCTAAGGCCCCTGCTTCCCCCCCACGTGGAAGCACTGACACCGAAGAGCAGGAAGAAGCAGATTTTCAAGGTCCCAGTTTGGAAGCGGCGCGTCAGCGCCTGCGGCGAATGTGCATTCGCAACAAGCAGGGAAACCTGAAGGTACCGCAGGCAATCCACGAAAAGTATGTTGCTGGAGGCGAAGAGCGAGACCGCCTTCTTAAAATCCTGGTCAAAACCAATTTTGAGAAGGATCCTAGCTTAATAGTAACCCACAAGCATGTGTATACCTGGCCCACCTCACAAATCCCCAATATGGCCCTTTTGTGAATCCCAGGACGCTTTCATCAAGGAGGTTACCGTGCTTACCGAACGTGAGAAAAAGGTTTCCCTTGACATCACAGGCGATTTTTATGAGGTCAAGGAAATGCGGGAGGAGTTGAAACTATCTGAGTGCCTTGGTTGTAAAGTGGTGATACATTGCTACATGTATATTTTCATGCCTACAAACATCCTCAGGTTTTTTACGCTATCTAAGGGAGCGAATCAAAGAGATTGTGGCCTTTGGTGATGCGAACCCCAGCACCTTCCGCCGAGCCTTTTGGTAGCAGCATTGGAGCCCGAAAAACCTCAAGTGAAGTACTGCCCTAAAGCCATTATAAGCCCTATATATATGTGCACACATGCATGCAGTTCCTGGATCCGTTTATGTCCCCAAACCCGGCAAAACCCCTTCAGGAGGATACCTACAACAAGAACAAGCCCTTCAAGTATTGGGTGGAGAAATCTGTGACTGCGAGCCTTTCGCAGCATCAATTGCTGCGCCAGCAGGAGGCTGTGAAGTTTGAGCAGGATGTGCCTGTGGACGGGAATGAAGTTACCCTCGGAAGGGATGTGGCTTTCGATCTTTCGGGCTTTGATGCTAAAATGGCGGATAGCCAACGCACGGTGGCTGGCATCTTTGCAAGGTTAGACTAGGCCGGGAAGCTGTACAGAATTCTACATTGAATTAACCTTCCAGTTTGATGTGAAATCTTGAGGCAGCAACCCGGCATCAGCGATAGAGCTTGACATTGGGCTTCCGATGCTGGAGGGCAAGAACCCTCAAGATGTGGCGGTTTTGTTTGAGAAGGCTTTGAGGACTCGATCGACTAGGGTGGCTGATGCTATGGGCCGTTTGGAGCTGATTCCAGCTGAGAAGCGCACTGAGAATGTCAAGAAGTTTCTTCCCCAAATTTATGTATCAATTGCCATAACCTTGAAAGCCATGCAAACCCTGAAGTTGTTGTTTATACAGATTTATACCTCCCTGTGAGCCTCAAACCTTTAAAGCTTCAAACTCCCGTCTGTGTAGCTGCAAACCATTCACAAAGCCCTGGGGCCCATGGATGTTCTTAAGAATTCGTATTACACAGAAATCTTAGCAACACAGCCAGGTAACAGCAGGATCCATGCAGACCCCGGCATGCATGAAGCAAAGCCTGAACTTCAAGCATAGTCGCAGACTTCGGGATAGCAGTACTTGGAGGGTCGGAGGGGTGTAGAAAGTACATATGCATAGGTTATAGTAACCCCTATAACCTATATTAAACCCAGCTATATCCCTATACTTACTAAGTCCTCCTGACCCTCTGAGTAGTCACTACAACTATCTTGGGTTGGGTTGGGTGTATTGCTGGCCCATACACAGCTCTAAAAACGTTACGGATATATATATATATACTAAGGTAGGCCTGGTTGCCCCCCCAAAATACAATCTTGTATGGCTTTATCATGGAGGATATATATATATATATGTATACCCAAACTGAAAATGATGTTAAAATCTATACCACTTTAGGTTTGGCCTAAGGAAGGGGTAGAGGAATTTGCTGCATGTAGCAAAGTAGGATAGGTACAGGCTACTATTGCCATTACTGCTACTCTATTACAACAACTACTACTATTACTAGTACTACAATTACTATTACTATTACTAGTACTACTACTGCATTATTATTA